GACCATCAACATGCCGTATTTTCGGAATCAGTATGTCGATATTCACGTCCCTGACTTTTTTCACAATTTTTAGACAACTTTTTTAAAAGTGAAATTTTTTCAATGGTCCTCTCTTCAAACTTCGGCCAATTTTTGACATTTTCGAAACTTCACTAAATACATTTTCTTGTAGACTTCGAGCTCAAGAACTCACTTCTGGCCTCGTTTCTTTGATAACTGCAACCGTTTTTCCGGAATCAACCGTTGAAATATCGAAATCTTTGGAAATTTCAAAAATTCGCATGTTGTACCGATTCTTTCCAAAATGTTGCTCCGTGACCATAAACTCGCTATATTTTTTGGAATCAGCACGTCGGGACATAGATCCCTGAATTTTTTCAGAATTTTTAGTACAGTATAATCTCTATAATCCGAACACACGATTATCCCAACATCCAGTAATCCGAACAGAGGCTAGTTGAAGTCGATATCTCTTTAATCTAAACAAAAACTCTGCAATCCGAACTGAACTCGAAAACATGCACCTACTTGCAAAAATGACGCAAGATCTTTTTTCTATAGGTAATTTTTTTAAAAAATTGTGATATTTCAATGCACAATTCTCAATTATTTGATTTGTAAAAATATCGAGAAAATAGATGTTCATTTTGTTAATTTTCGATTTTTGATTTTTTGTCACCGAGTTTTTGAAAGGAAGGAAAAAGCACTTTTGATCAGCGATTTGCCATGTTTACCGAAACTTTAAAACATCTGAAAATTTTGTTCCTAATTTTCAATTTTTCAAGATTTCGGTTCGAATAAATTTGTTCTTTTTGTTAAAAAATTGAAAAATGACAAATCGTGAAAAGGAAAAATTTTAACTTGAGAACTTGAAAAATTAAAAATCAAAAGATTGGAATTAAAAACTGCAAAATTGTCAAACAAATTATCAAATGAAATATTCAAAAGTTGAAAAATCTAAAAACTAAAAAAAAGTTAAAACCGGAATTTCGAATTCTATATATAAGATTTGTTTTTTTTTTCAATTTTTCGATATTTCAGTTTTTGATTTTCCGATTATACAGTTGTACAATTTTCCGATTTTTCAATTTGTCATTTTTTGATTTTTAATTTTTTTTGTTTTTAGCAAGTGCTGACCCTACCCACCCATGCTTTATTTTCTTAGAAGAATAAGTCATGTGCCAAAATCAGTCTCATCTTGACAAGTACTAGCCCCGCCCACCCACCCTTTGCGTTCTTAAAAGAGTGGGGCATCTGCCAAAATCAGTCTTATCTTGACAAGTACTAGCCCCGCCCACCCACCCTTATTTTCCTAGAGAATATGTCATTTGCAAAAATCAGCCTTATGTTTGCCAAGATAAGATTGATTTTGGCAGATGATCTACTCTTCTAAGAAAACAAGGGGTGGGTGGGTGGGGCTAGTATCTTTTCTTATAACAGTAAATCATTTGTCAAAATGAGTCTTATTTTGGCAAATACTAGCCTGGCCCACCCTCCTTTTATTTTCTTAGAGGGTAGGTTATTTGGCAAGTACTACCATTGTGTAAAATTCCATTTTGGAAAAAGTTGTCTAAAAATTCTGAAAAAATTCAGAGATATATCCCGACGTGCTGATTCCAAAAATATAGCATGTTTATGGTAACGGAGCAATATTTTCGGAAAATTCGGTGTAAAATTCAATTTTTTTTTAATTTTTAAAAATTGCGATATTTCAATTGACGATTCTGGAAAAACGGTTTAAGTTATCGCAGAAATGAAGCCAGAAGTGACTTCTGCGACCCAAAATCTATATGGAAGTATTTAGTTAAATTTCGAAAATCGTCGAGAATGGGTCGAAATTTGCACAAGGGAGGTAATACGAATACTTAATGGGAAATTTCATTTTTGAAAAAGTAATCTAAAACTCTGATTGAGTTCAGAGATATAGATCCCGACGTGTTGATTCCAAAAACATAGCATGGCTATGGTCACGAAGTAATATTTTTTTCGAATGTATCTTTTCGAAATTTCGAAGTTGTTATCCGAACAAATCGCTATTCCGAACACACCTTTCCCCAATTAATTCGGATTATCGAGGTTATACTGTATTTCGAAAATGAAATTTTCGACTATGCAGATTTCGACGATTTTCGAAATTTAACTAAATACTTTTTCTTGTAAATTTCGGGCCGCAGAAGTCACTTCCGGCCTCATTTCTTCGATTACTTCAACCTTTTTTCCAGAATTAGTTAATTATAATTCAGTGCATTGAAATATCGCAATTTTTAAAAATTTCAAAAAATTTAGTACAACACGTGCAGAAAGAAGATCTAGCGTCATCTAGTTCGGATTAAAGAGGTATCGACTTCAACTAGCCTCTAGAGGTTCGGATTACTGGATGTTCGAATAATCGTGCGTTCGGATTATTTTTAAAAAGTTATTTAAAGTGTATTCACCAAGTAGATACAGGAATGTATATTGTGGTATTGGTATGTCATTAAAGATGTACAACATAGTGACAATAATAATCATAAAAACATGAAACAAGAGAGGTTATACTGTAATCACAAATATTTCCTCTTGACCAAATAATAAATGTATGAGTTTTTTAGGTGTGGATGACTCTAATTTTGCTAAATAATTCTCACTTGAAATTTATATTCTTTGTCTGTGGCTTAATAATGTATTAACATTTATAATCTTAGGCACATGAATAAAAAAGGTAAATAATCATTTAGTTTGTCTCGGAAGCCGCGTAAGGAACTTTTTTGAAAATTTTATATTACATTGATTTAATGATCAACAAAGTTTACATACCCTCTAAACACCTCATTGCATTATTAAAAAAATATATCACATGTTTATTTTTAAAAAATGTAATAACTAAATTTGTATTAATAATATACATGCAGAATTAATTGTGTTTCAAAGATAAGAGAAGTCGTGTCTAAATACCTTGATAGAATTTTTGTCATTATTCTAGAAACAGTTGTGTTTATCTTTAAATAACTTAAAAAAAAACAAGTATAGTACTAGTACACTTCTATTACTAACTACATTATTTTTTTTTAAGTTAGTGTCCAAGACAAGCTGTATTAATTAGTGTCTAGTACAGCTTCTAAATTCAGCGTGATCACGGGAATACTAAATAAAGGCAAACCTGAGGTTCTTCTATCCAAGCGTCCCGAACACCGCCACTGCCCACATTATAAATTATCGTATAAATATAAATTAGAATTAACGTTAATGCTGACACTTTAATCTTTTAATTAAATTAGAAACATGAATCTTCCGAAAAGAAGAATTTGAAAGATAAACACATACCCAAGAATTTATACGTTCATCCATAAACTATTTAAAAAATGAGACCCAACCAACCATAACGACTTAATCCAAATGTATTTGCATTTCCATCCCGCTTTACATAAATTAGCCTCTTGACTAAAAATATTCATTATTTGTGGAAGGCTAGTGGCACTAACAGGGTTCAACGACTACACACCCCAATGTTTATTTTCTCGTAGTCTAAATATGAGCTTCTGGTTATTAACTACGGAATGATGTTTGTATCTCTAAATTAGCGTAAAAAAACCGACTTCGGGACGTGACGACAGACAAATGGGCTTCGATTCCTTTTTTTATTTCTCATAAATCTACAGTTCTGCATACGTGATTATCATTCTGCTCTTGCAGGGACCAGGACGAAAAGTTTCGTGTTACCGAATGTTCCTCGGTAGTTTTATGGACCGGAATGGTTCATATTTGTCGAAAATAAAAATGTCAAGTGGGGACTGTCACAAAGGCACCACCGTCATGCTGTTGGCATTAGCATTTTTTATGGGCTTTCCGGGAATATGGTTCGGCTCTTTTTGTTTTATATGTGCCAAAGGAAGTTGTAAAGATGGGCTTTTATGAGGGGTGGGTTAGCGAATTTGCAAAGCGGCTTCTTTGATGATGACTTTAATGCACCTTTTTCCACTATTTTGCTACAGTTAATTGTTTTCAGACGACCTTTTATTAATAGGAGTGTAACAGCTCAGGTAAAATAAAAATGTTTTCAAGAAATACTAACTTGCCGAAATGTTCAAAATTTATCATACACAACTTGGGAAAAGGAACAAACTTAATAACACCAAAAAAGAACAAAAAAAAGGAACAATATAGTGAAATTTACGGGATTTCTAACTTTTTATCGTTTTTTTTTCCATCATATCACATTAAATTCAGGTAAACTCAGATATCCGTGAAAAACCGAAAAAGCCCACAGACGACAGTAATAAAGCTGTTTCCATTTCCGTCCGAACTTCGAGCCAATTTAAGCCAACAATGGAGTGTTGGTTGATTCAAAACTAAGTTGTGATGATTTGTTAGATTTGACATGCTTCGCTTAGCTTAATTGGTTGCATGTGTGTGTTGTTCGTAAACAAACAGAAGCGCTCGATTTCCCTGACAAATGTTGAGACTTCAGGAAGTGCTTGCTTTGGGGTTGCTTCGTTTCGGGTTACTGGTTTTATGAATTCGAGGGGATCGTGGCTTTGGTGGTGGTCTTCGTTTCAACAGTGAAAACTTTTGATAGTTTACAAAAAGTACAGGTGCAAGTTCTGAAGAATTACATAACGCCTAAGATCATATAATATTAATAGCCGCTATAAAAAAAGCATACACTGAAAGTTAAATTGAACACCAGAAATTTACTTTATTTATGTTATCATTGAAAGAGCATTTTCCTTGTTCAATTACAGAACAATAGACGCCCCGTTGTTACAAAACCATCTTCATAAATATTTTTCCCGGTATGTTTTCGATATGATTTTTTTATAGTGAAGTGGTTTTAGCGCCTCCGCGCTGGGAGCGATGTTTACATGAAATTCCAGAGCGAAGAGCTTTGATGTAACGGTCAATGGATAAATAATCAGGGACATAAGCACCAGACTCTGTATTTATCTTGTTAAAGTGCCCACTCGCGATTATTAGCCGGTTGTTATAAATTAATCAGTTAAAATAGATTTTTTTTGTTGCAGATCAATGGGGTTACCATCGGCAGGGATCATGTCAGGCTGGATTTAGTGCTGCCATAAACCAGGTGTGTAGAACCTTTGTTTTAAGTGTTATGTTTGGAAGAAATTTAAAATATTATTTTGTGCAGTATGTATAACCAAAGAGTCTGGTAATGACAATAATTTTAAAATTGTCGTCTTAAAAGTAAATATTATGAAGTTATGAATGTCATATTTTTTTACTTGTAAAAATACAGGGCAACTGTGGGCAATATTAATTATATTTGACACAGGTATCTAACGGGAAAACATGTTGTCTCACTGACTGAGTACACGCGTAACTTCGACTGTTTATGGTTCGAAAGAATTCGAAGATTAGCACCTTCAAATAACAAACATCTACGTTAAAAAAATGAAATTTGACTGATTTTGTCTCTTCAAAACAGAGGAGAAGACTAATTTAATTAATTAAGCTACAATAAAGCAAAATCTGCCGAACATAATTTTGTCCTGGCTGATATTACGATAATCTCCGATTTTACAATTTTTTGAGTTTTAAACTTTTAGTTTTTTAACTTTTCAATTTCGTGTTTTTTTTTATTTTTCAGCAAAAGAAATTTATCCAAACTAAAATATTGGAAAATCGGAAAATTGTATCATTGAAACAATGAATTTTAAAATGAAAAATCCAAAACTTTCAAATGAAAATCGAAAAACTAAAAAATTGAAAATAAAACTGCAAAATTGGTAATTGGAAAATTGGAAAAACGAAAAAATAAAAAATCCCGAAATTGAAACATCAAAAAATCAAAACATTTAAAAATTGATAAGTAAAGAATTGAAAAAATAAGAAAAATTAAAAAACCGAAAAAATGAGAATCAAAAATTGAAAAATGAAAAAATTAAAAATTAAACAAGTGGATAATTGAAAAAACAATTGAAAAATCGAAAAATTGTAATATAGAAACCTGAAAACCCTGATTAATTAAAAATCGAGAAAGTGAAAAATTGAAAAAACCAAAAACAAAAATTTCTATAAATTAAATAATCAATAATACAAAAAAATTTCAAATCCAAAGATTTTAAAATGAAACTTGAAATATCGAAAATTTGAAAAATCGAAAAATAAAAAAATTAAAAAATTGAATTGGATAGATAATTGAAAAATCGAAAAACTGTAATATTGAAACTCCAAATCCCTGATTAATTAAAAATAGAGAAATTGAAAAATCGACAAAACGAAGCAATTTTGCAATTTTTCGAAATTCTCGATTTTTAATTTTTCATTTTCTCGATTTTTCATTTTTTAATTGTTCAACAAAAGGACAAATTTATTCAGCCGAAATTTTGAATTGAATTGAAAAATCAAAAAATTGAGAAATGAAGAATTGAAAAAATAAACTGAAAAATCAGAAATTTTTTTTATTGAATTTTCGCTACCAAATTTTTCAATTTTTCCACTTTTAATTTTTTTTTCAAATTTTTAAATTTGCCGATTTTTAGTTTTTCACTTTTTTCGAAAAATTATTAGGGTTTTTATTATTCAATTTTTGGCTTTTTCATTTTCTGATTTTTCAGTTTCTTTATTTTTTTCAATTCTTCGATTTCTCAGTTTTTTGATTTTTCAATTCAAAATCTCGGTTTGAATAAATTTGTCCTTTTGTTGAAAAATTAAGAAATAAAAATCGAGAATTTGATAAATTTGATATCGAATAATTGCAGAACTGTTTCTTTTTGTCTATTTTTCAATTTCTCGATTTTTAATTGTTTTGTTTTTTGATGTTTCGGTGTTACAATTTTCCGGTTTTTGAAAATTTCAGTTTGAATAAATTTGTCCCTTGTTGAACAATTAAAAAATTAAAAATCGAGAAAATGAAAATTAAAGATTGAGAATTTCGAAAAATTGCAGAATTGCTTCGTTTTGTCGATTTTTGACAATTTCTCAGGGTTTTGATTACAGTTTTTCGATTTTTCAATTATCCAATTCAATTTCTCAATTTTTTTCATTTTTCAGTTTTTCAAATTTTCGATATTTCAAGTTTCATTTTTAAATCTTTGGATTTTTGATTATTTAATTTATAGAAATATTTGTTTTTGGTTTTTTCAATTTTTCACTTTCTCGATTTCTAATTAATCAGGGTTTTCAGGTTTCTAAATTACAATTTTTCGATTTTTCAATTTTACTTCCCGAGCGTAAGCAAAGGAAGTATTGTAATCGAGTCCGTCGGCCGACTCTCTACTTTTACGTTTTCTCGATCTTTCATGACCCCTAGAAGACGAAGAAATAGGTCTCCCATTTCCGTCTGTCTGTCCGTCTGTCCGTCTGTCCGTCTGTCCGTCCGTCTGTCCGTCCGTCTGCCGTCCCGGATTTTTATTAGACAGATAATCTCCGAAAGTACTAGACCTATTGTTGTGAAATTTTGCACTTATATTAAGAATATCATGTAGATGGTAAAACGCTAACCAAAATTTGTCTAATCATCCCCACCACTAATGCGATGACGTCACTTCAAAATTGTACATAGTAAATGGGTTTTCAATTGTATAAAATAACATAGTCCTACACATGTAGTTTACAACTCCGAATTGACTTTTCACCCGAAACGTCTAGATTTTTGGAAAAAAAATCAAAATTATAAAACATTTTGAAATTTCATTTTTATTCTGCTAACCAGAATGCTTTGAAATGTTGCAGATGTTTTAAGGCTATAAAGAGCATCATAAATCTTTAGTCAAAAAATATTTGCTTATCCCCTCCAAAAACTTGATGACGTCAGCTCAAAAGTTTGTGGAATAAATCATATCTAAAATGTACAAAATATGATGAGTCTGTACTTGTGATCTATCACTCCATTCATATTTTTTGGATTTGCATATACAGGGTGACTCAAAAAAATTAATGAATGCGTAAATTTATTTTACTGATTTACTCAGAAACTACAAAACCGAATGCTTTGAAATCTTGCAGATGTTTTAAGGTTATAAAGAGCATAATAAATGTTTAGTCAAAATATATTTGCTTATCCCCTCCAAAAAATTGATGACGTCAGCTCGAAAGTTTGCCGAATAAATCCTATCTAAACTGTAAAAATATGATGAGTCTGTACTTGTAATTTATCACTCCATTCATATTTTTTGGATTTGCATATACAGGGTGACTCAAAAAAATTAATGAATGCGTAAATATATTTTATTGATTTAATCAGGAACTACAAAACCGAATGCTCTGAAATCTTGCAGATGTTTTAAGGTCATAAAGAGCATAATAAATGTTTAGTCAAAATATATTTGCTTATCCCCTCCAAAAACTTGGTGATGTCAGCTCGAAAGTTTGCCGAATAAATCATATCTAAAATGTACAAAATATGATCAGTCTATACTTGTGATCTATCACCCCATTCATATTTTTTGGATTTGCATGTACAGGGTGATTGAAAAAAATTAATGAAAGCGTAAATTTATTTTACTGATTTACTCAGGAACTACAAAACCGAATGCTTTGAAATCTTGAAGATGTTTTAAGGTTATAAAGAGCATAATAAATGTTTAGTCAAAATACATTTGCTTATCCCCTCCAAAAAATTGATGACGTCAGCTCGAAAGTTTGCCGAATAAATCCTATCTAAACTGTACAAAATATGATGAGTCTGTACTTGTGATTTATCACTCCATTGATTTTTTTTTGGATTTGCATATACAGGGTGACCCAAAAAAATTAATGAATGCGTAAATTTATTTTATTGATTTACTCAGGAACTACAAAACCGAATTCTTTGAAATCCACTGCGAAAAAAAACATAATAGGCATGCAGTCGTCACGTTTCCGACAGCGAGGGAAGTACTGTCGAAACTCTTTAGACCAATTTTTTTTTCATTGTTTCGGTTTTTTCAATTTTTCTTATTTTTTCAATTCTCCGACTTATCAATTTTAAATTTTTTTGATTTTTTGATGTTTCAATTTCGGGATTTTTTATTTTTTCGTTTTTCTAATTTTCCAGTTACCGATTTTGCAGTTTTATTTTTAATTTTTCTATGTTTTTACAATTTTTCAATTTTTCGGTTCCTGGATTTTTTAATTTCTCGATTTTCATTCGAAATTTTAGATTTTTCATTTTAATATTTTGTATTCTTCATGGTTTCAATGATACAATTTTCCGAATTTCCAATATTTTAGTTTGGATAAATTTGTCCTTTTGTTGAAAAATTAAGAAACGAAAAATTGAGAAAATGAAAAATAAAAATAAAGTATGTACTTCCAAGTAGGTAATTCCAAATTATTTTGTTTCGTCGATTTTTTGATTTCTCAATTCGAGATTTTTATATTTTTCTTTTTTTTTTTAATTGATAATTTTTCGATTTTTCCGTGTTTCGATTGCTCCATTTTTTAGTTTTTCGATTTTCATTATGAAATGGTTGCATTTTTTAGTAACATTTTTGTATTTTTCGATTTTCTAATTTGGTTTTTTAATTTTTCAATTCCTAGATTTTCAATTTATCACTTTTTCAGGTTTCAATGTTACAAATTTTCGATTTTACAGTTACTGTCTTTTTCTCAATTGTTCCATTTTTTTATTGTTTTTTTGCTACCCAATTTTTTCAATTTTTCGATATCTCAAGTTTGGTTTTTCAATTTTTGATTTTCAATTTTTCATTTCTTCAATTTTTCCACTTTTAATTATTTTTTTCAAATTTTTAAATTTGCCGATTTTTAGTTTTTCACTTTTTTCGAAAAATTATTAGGGTTTTTATTATTCAATTTTTGGCTTTTTCATTTTACGATTTTTCAGTTTCTGAAAATTTTTGAATTTTGAAATTATTTTTGTTTTTGTATTTTTGATTGTTTAATTTATAGAAGTTTCTGTTTTTCGTTTTTCAATTTTTCACTTACTCGATTTTTAATTAATCAGGGTTTTCAGATTTCAATATTACAATTTTTCGATTTTTCAATTGTTTTTTCAATTATCCCATTGTTCAATTTCTCAATTTTTTCATTTTTCGATTTTTCAATGTTAAAATTTTTCGATATTTCAAGTTTCATTTTTCAGTTTTTAAGTGTTATTTTCCGGTTTTTCAGTTTCTTTATTTT